TCTAAAACCAAAAATTCTTAGATTATTCCTGACGTCCTAAAAATCTAAAAGTTCATATCGAAGCTAGTATTAGTACACAATGATAAAAAAAAACAAAAATGAGCACTTATATGGAATTTTGTATATTACTTCCGCTTCCGACACTAGGTTGAATAGTTAAGTAACGAACAGTGAATATATTTTTCATCAATACATACACTTTGACTAGTGATTTTTTTCGAAGTTAAGAGTATTTAGGGTTAATGCCTCCTTCAAGAGAGTATCTTGGCAACATTTTACATGACAATATTTTTCCACCTTGGATGTTTTATACACATTCAACTGTCATTCAACAATCAGTATATTGTATAGAAAAAACTTTATTATGCAAAAATTCTAATCATTTCTGTTAATAAATATAATTGACAAGAATATGTCTTTTTATATAGCAAAATTTAAAAAAAAATCTGCCAAGTGAGTAGGACAAAGAAGAAAAAAACCAGAGAGCTTGTATTTCAATAAATTAATGGTACGTCAATTTTATTAACAATATATTACACTTTAAACTCAGTAGATTAAAGTTAAAATTATATCCACTATTTATTATTATATATAAACAAGGACTTGTGTACCCATAATGCGATATTCATATCCTCATGCATTTGATAACCTGTCCAGTGGCCTACACATTACGATCCTGCGAGTTCATTTCTTGAGAGACAAAAATTTTACTGTCGAGATTACCTTACTCTGTTTCCTTAGGTTAAAGAATAGAAATGATAACTTGAAAACTGTCTGATTTTGTGTAAAAGTCTTCTTCTAAAGATTGCGTCAAAGATTTCTCACGTAGCTTATTGTACTATAATTTTGTATGTTAAGAAAGTAAAATTTCCATTGAATTAATCAGTCTCGTTCATAGTTTGTTATTCATGTAAATATTTTAGACGCCTTGACATTATACGAATTTTAGTTGAACCAATCAATGGTTGTTATTTTTATCGCATTTTATTCATAAAGAAATGGTTGAAGAAGATAAAATTTTATTTACATTATATGACATTGTAGAAATTATAATATAAAAGAAAATATAATTTCGTGAATTGAATATGTTGCTTATATAATAAGTTTGTTTGGTATACAAATAAATCATCCTTGGTGATAATAGTACAATTCTAGACAGTAGATCAACATCAAATAGCCTATAATAAACTCATTCAATATTTTCATTAGATCTAATGATGTTATTTTCGTCCAAAATATGCCCAATTTTGTTTACTCTTCTATAAATTCAAAACTTACTTTAGCTAATATATAACTACGATAGGTTATGTTATTTTGCTCTCAGAACAGAATTATGTACCTAACTGTACGATCAGATAAACATTATAGAATATATATATTTCATTTACCATTATTAATTTTATCAGAACGACGAGACGCGGACACGCCAGACGTAGATTAAAATAGCCTAGTGATTCCAAAATGTACTCGTATCAAATATAAAAACCCTCTGCTTATTCACAAATGTACTTTGTAGTATATATAGTAATATTATTAAATAATAATGTAGGCTTTAGTAAAGACACGTGTATCTTTAGCATATGGTAGGATAAAATTGGTAATTATTTGTTTTGTAACCTGCGCCGTACCACCGTTTATTTCGTCCTAGGTATCCGCTTGTAAACTTTTTGTCTTTGATCTTCAACATCATTTAGTTTTATTATTCACCTTGTTCACCTTTCGTAATTTGAAATTTTGATTGATCCAATATGCTCTTTTCCATCTTGGAAGTATTATACACATTCAACTGTCATTCAACAATCAGTATAAGAAAAACCTTTAAGTCGATTTTACATGTAGAAATTTATTTATTCACTTGACATTGGCAGAATTGTGCGAAATGCGCAGATAAGCCATTAATAAAAGAAGAAGAAGAAGAAACTTTAAGTCAGTTCGTAAAAAAATCATCTGGCGAGAACATGATAATTTAATCATATAAATCTAATAATAATAAAGTTATAATAATTTAAATTAGAATAATGTAAACGTGTATTTTCGTGAAATATCTCCTTTGTTATACCTATTACGGAAAACCCAGAAACGGGGTATATAATTGTTCTATGTAACTATTTTAATTATATTATTTAGGCAATCATACGAACTGTTTTATATTCATTTTTTGTTTGTTACAGTTTTTCTAATTACTCTCTAATAAATCAAATTTTCAAGCTTAATCAGCCCTTTCTCGTCACAGTATAATTCCAAAAAGTAAGTATACAGGAGTCTGATTTGTATTGTAGACAAAAGTTCTCTAAAAATATATAAAACTCGGCATCACCGAAATTCAAATCCAATAAATGAATGTAGCATAAAAAAAGAATGAGTTAGATAGTAGAGATAAAATATTGGACGTACTTTCACGCTGATTCCTTACAAATGCAAAGACGTCGCTCAACTCCACCGTAGCATAATTTAATTGCAAAACGAGCGAAAAATAATTTATTCCAACAAGTAACTCGACGAATTCCTTTCCGTGGAAAGGGTTCGAGTGCTGCCAAGTAATTAAATTTCGTTCCGTTTGTAGTTTTTCTAACTAGAATTTGGGACTGTAGACGACTAGCAGGAAAGATTTTATTTTAGATTTTTCCTATATTGACACTTTACTTTATTGAAGTTTGCTCTACGAGGGATTAAATATATGGACTATGCATATAAAGTTTTAATGGTGTTTTATGAAGCTATATAAATATTCGGGTATATTTGGTCTTGTAACGCCATTTGAGGTAACGCAGTCTCACTCATAAAAATAAATTGTCCCAAGCCAGTAGTTAGAGTAGCATGTTACGTCGAAATTATTCTGATCTATAAAAGATGTCAACAATAATTGTAGCCTCAACATAACGTAGCAGAATAAACAGAATCTCTTCATGTCGACGGTGTTAATACTCTTTAAAATGACAGTTGTGTTGACAAGGTGTACTCAGTCTGCTTTGGAAGCTTGTCCACGTCAGACGTGTGCGCGCTGACTCGATCTCTTTGTGCGATATGGCGTATGACGCTTAGAATTATCAATTTAATCCTTTTTCCATCTCCGATAAATACTATCAATCCATATACAGGCGCACAGTAAACGTTATGCTTCGTGGTATAAACTAGGCAGGCAAGCGCATGCTGTGGTCTTTATATAATTTTATTCATAGGGAACACGATCACAGCATTGTATGATGATACAAAAGTTAAGTTAAAAGTGGAAGTATTAAAAATAAATGAAAGGAACGAGCAGTCTTTTTCTCTTATCCTTGTATACAAAGCGCCTAGCATAATAAAAATATTTAATATTATTTGCCCACGTGGTACTGTGTGCACACTGGCCTGTTATACTGGAGTCTTAAGCTGATATTATTTGACTTATTATCTAATCTACCGGTGTTTCTTGAAAAGTAGCATGCTCGACATATCAATTGTTAAAAAAAATGAAGTTGGTCCTCGAATTGTATGGAGCAATAGGTGCAAAAATAGTCTCAAAAACAGACAACCTACCAAAATGGATTATTACCTATAAGGTGCCCATGATTAACAGCTTCAAAGTGATAAAATAATTTTAAAGTCCGTTCAGTAGTTTTAGACATAGCGCGGACATACAAATAGACTGACATTTTTTTTAAAAATCATTGAATTGTATTTTGTTGCTGTTTAAGTATCGCTCTATATCAATATTTAATGTACAGATGATAAAATAATGATAAAATAACTTATGGAGGATGATAAAATAATCATAATATTATACTCATTCGTTTCTCTCAATGTTCTATACCATATTCCTCGACAGTCTTCAAAAATATGCTTTAGTATACTTTTTAGCAAAACAAATTTAGGAATGTTCGCCCCACTTTACCGGTGTATGCATGCTTAAAACAATGTTAATAATTCTAACATTGATATCTTCAGTTTCTTCAGAATTCACTTTCAAAAAGAAGTGTGTGGTAACACTTTTTTTTCTGTTTTTAATTAGAATCACGTTATATTTAATAATAATACCCTTTATAATTTATTGCTACTTTTTTAATTTAATTTAACTTTATAAATAATTTCGAATAATTCATATGCTCTTTTAGAATAATTCAAATGGTATTGGTACGTTTTGATATTGTAATTAGTTATTATTTTAGATTTGACCAATTTCTATTTCTGTTTGTTGATCTGTTGTCTTTGTCTTAATTGTTTTAAAATGCTGCATGCACTTCATTAAAACTAGTCCATTATATTTATATGTGTAATGCTGTTGTCGCTAGTGTACCCTAATCAATAAATAAATAAATATCGTCGTATCTTGAATATAAATATATATCTAAAATATCTATTACTATTTCTCCTAATAAGACTACATTGCTTCAGAAAACAGATAAGATAGTGTCGCAAAATAAAAAGCACCAACAGATTTTTTAAACCGTATCTTATAAATTATTGAGACTCATCGAAACGTACTTTACTCTGAACGTCGAATAAAAACCAAAGCCAAGAGTTATATTTGATAAATTTTGCATTGCCATATTGATTTTTATCTTAATAGAAAAACAACTAAAAATATCCAACCGTCTCAAGTGCCCAAGTCTGTGTTCTTAAGAATGAAGAGCTATGAAGTGGTTTATTTCTAGTTCTTCATTTATTTTTATACTATCAAATATCAAAAGTACATAAATTGAGTACCCTTTTATTCCACTAAATATCGCAAATACAGCTGTTTGCGAGTTGTATTTAGGTGTTTATCAATTAAATGACTTTTTGGGAATACGAGACGCGAGTGATATTTATCTTCTTTTTAGAATTTTATAACTAAAAAAGAAAAAGGGAACTTTATGTAATCACTCGTTTATCTCATAGTATCGGTCTATCACTAAGAAAAAAGTTCCAAATTAGTTTTCTTTATATAAATTACAGAAAGTCTACGCTTATTAGTATGACTGTCAATTGGCCGGTGTTCCGGTATTCAGCTAACTCTACACCTATTACTGAATTTCCAGATGGCGCGCATATACGAAGAACTGGACGTGGACTACGCTACTAAGTGTAGTGACGTCACACTATGCTCCAACACAAAAGGCTTCTTCAAGACTCTCGCTGAAGACATGGTCTCTATAGCTGAAAACAATAACTGGCTACAAGACTTTGAAAAGACAGAAGATGCCAAGAAGATAGAAGCTGTTAAGCATAACAAAGAGGTACTAAAACTTAAGTATTTATTTTCTCTTCTTCTGATGATCATTATCAGAATATTAGTCTCTGTTTTCATAGTTCTTAGCACAATATCCTTAGATTATAGAAAAAGATAGCTATTGACGTTCGCATAGCTCACAATCATTCCTATGAATATAATCTTTAGAAATATAATATAATTTGGTGAGTAATGATAATATAGTGAACTTACTCAAAATACATATAATAGTCAATCTTATTATACAACTCAATTGAAAATACAAAGAAATATTAAGTTTCTAATTATATGCTTTAAATAACATAACCAAAATAAACATATATATTGTACACAATTACATATATCATCTTTGGCTGCCTTATCGTCTCCATTGTTATTAGGATAATCCTTTACCCGGGGTAGGTCTACCCTGCCTGGGGACTAACTTGGTCCTGAATTATACAATCTGGCAGCTCTGCTATATTTACCTTACCGACGTACTACTTATGACCTACGAGATTCTATGATCTCGTCATAGCTCATGCCAAGTTTGATTTCCAGCCAGGTTACTGTAATAAAAACGCAATGTTTAACTATGTCTACGCTATACGCAAATACGCAAAAAACGCAATGTTAAAAACGTAAAAAGACGGAAAAACGTATTTGAGAATTGCATGCATGAACAAAAAAACCGAATTGTTAGAATTCTACTTGTCAGTTAATTGGCGAGGTCTAAAAGAAATTCGTATGGTCCACGTTCTTTGGATCGGATTGATCAGCAAAGATAATCTAAGTTTACATCCTTATTCGCAACCACCCGCAATACTATGAATTATAATGCTACCACAAAAAAATATATATATATATAATAATAAATCTTTAATAATACTTACGTCTTCGTCATCGAGTATAATAATTGATCTCCATAAAAGGAGTGTCTAAATAAAAGGAACACACAAGATAATAAAAACTGCGGTAACTGCTCGATTCAGGATGATAATAATTTCTAATTATCCCATTATTTCCCCGTTCATGACGTAATAGTTGGCGGTCTGCGATGCGGAAGTTAAGCAACTTTCGCAAGGGCTGGTCATAGGATGGGCAACAAAAAAAATATTATAGAAAGCTCCTCCATTCTCTCAAAAGCACGTTAAATCGTTGGATCAATCTGCACTGGGACTGTATAGTGGGTAATGTCTCGTTCTCCCTATTCGATTCTATTCGTATTTATAGAAAAAATCATGCCCCAGGTTGAGAATTACTGCAAATTGATGTATATTAACTATAAATGCAAATAATGCTTACACTTTAACGTACCTTCCAAAGCACGAAAAAACTCTAAAATATTAAATTTTTATTGCCCCTTAAAGTTAATATTTCCACATCACAAACCGAACACGTTAATTGTTGCGCCATCGCTGATCACTGATTACATCACTCCAAAATGCTGATCCTCTGAGCATTCAATAAATATGCCCTTCGAAAGTGCCACAGACTATCCAAAGGTCCAAAACTATGTTGTCCCTTTAATTTCCTAACCATATTACTACGTCTTATTACAAGTACTAAAACAAGCTTTTTCCAAGTCCAAGTTATTACTGAGAAGTATTTACTCACCAGATTTATTTACTCGCGTAGATTAAACGGAAAAGTTTCACAGAAAATTCAATATAGTTCACCAAATACCACAAAGATTTCTAATCAAAGAAGTTTGTTATTGTTTCTCACTAAAACACAGTATATAAGTAATTCTTTAATTGACTTGTAGTCCCTACTGTAAACACAATTTGACCTATGCTTTTTTTCAATTACTTCTCTTTTTTTTCCATCAAAAAGGTGCTCTTAAGTAACTACTGGTGTATGTAACCTCTAAACGCTACACTATATTTTTTTGCCAATAAGCAAAATACGCAATTGCACATTCATCACAAATAGCATTAAGTACAGCATTATCGCAGCTCTAGCTGTTCAATAAAGTTAAACCTATGTTATTTATTAAAATAGGTTCTATTGGATTGTCCTTGTGACTGATATCCTGATGGCAAAAGAGAGTTAATATGCAGTAACAAATAAACAAAAAAAATACCAAATGCTTCTTGATTAAAGTATTTCGAAAAATAAATTAGCAGTAACAATATTTATAAACGTTTCAATTACTTTCCTAATATTTCAATTTAAGTTTTTTCATAAAATATTACACAATGAGACTTCAAACCGATATACTAGAATTCCATATTTTATGTTTATACATTGTTTTTGTACAATGAAATGTATTTATACAATTCTCGTAACTGTAGTGAGAAGTGCCTATTGCCACAGATAAAACTATTAGGAAACCAATTTGGATGTGTAAACCTCAGCGAACATTCATCAAAATAATGAGGTGGCCTTTCATAATAAAAGAGCCCTTCTCTGTTTATTCAAATAATTGTTCAGTTTTATGTTTCAACCCTTTCATTGTCTTTTTAGAATTGTGCGTATTCAATTAGCGAGACGCCCCTTCAGGCTTTACTGTACTTTGAATCTATATCATATTTATTTTGCTTTCAAAAGAATACTCATACATTATACGTTAGGAATCAATACATCCTGCAGCCTGCAGCATTACAAAAGAGCATAACACTACATATGTAACATAAATGTAACGCTTGTACCTTAGTTTAATTAACGTAACTATATCATGTGTACGATAGTTTTTTAAATAAATTATAATAGTTTTATGTAGATCGTGAACAGAAATTTAAAAATAGGTCCAATAGTTTTTAATGTGATCATACAAAACAAACAACCAAACAAAAAAACAAGAATCAAAATTTATCTTCTTTATGATATTATCACACGCTGATATTAATATATAAAAGGGGCTTCGACATTCAGACAGAAAGAGACATGACGAATCTATAAAGGTTATGTTTTTTGATATTAGTTAGGACCTAAATGCAGCATCAATTTCAGTATTTTATCGATATATTGAGGTGCGAGTACTTCATTTGAATCTATTGTAAGTCAACCTCGTCAGGGATTCTGGCGTTGTATATTCCGACTTAACTTGTCCTGTTATTGATAATTGATACGATGTATATAGTTATTCCCCACAACACTAATATTCTATAAATTTATATATGCTACCTGTAAATTTCGACTAAATATAATGTTATTTTGAAGAGGTATTTTGAGTGATATTATACTTCTATAATATTACTTTTTTTTCAGATTATGGACGCACTCGAAGAAGTTTTCTCTAGAATCCAACCTCTTCATCGTGGAAAAGATGCGAGGATTTCTTATGAACGGAGGATAGCTGCTCAAGCTGCACTTAAAGATGATGATTTGACTAAAGCGTTGGGGCTCGCTAGCCAAGCTGTCCTTAGGGCACCTATGACAGGTTGAGATACTCATAAAAATTATGTAGAATTCAGTAGACCTACTGAACGTTGCAGCACTGACTTTCCAAATAAAGATAGTCTAGTAAAATAGAAAATGATAATCAGACGTTATCATTAGATTCACATAATTCTCCATCACATTTTTGCGCTAATAATGCTGTTTTAATTAAGAAACATCGTCCACTTAACATGCGGTTGAGATTCATAAGGGAATTGGTAAATATGAATATGTTTAAGCAAATAAAGAACATAGATGCAAACTCTAAATTCTCATATTCACAGAAACATCGTTTGACCAATGTTTACCCATAGATACCTACTTCATACAGTCGGAAAACGCCTTTGATCTCGAGCAATGCAGCTAGTCCAGTAAATTAGTATTTACTTTGGAATTAGATATGCGCTAGAAATATTCGTACCCAATTTCGCATTCTAAAAGTACTTTCATACCAAAATTATAACACTAAAATCACTTCGGTGATAATAAATATTTAGACTATTTATCTAACCCAAAAAAAAAGAATCACAAACGGAACTAACAGTAATTACAAAAATATAATTTTTCCACAGTTTTGTAATAAGCATGGTATGTAATATTCGGCTCACATGTCAGCTCATTAACTTTTTTAGAACAGCTTAGTTTATTTCAGAATCGAATTAAGATTAAGTTGTTTTTTCTATCAATCAGATATTACACTAATATTATAAATAATGATGATTTCATTGTTTTTTTGCATCGAATAGATTGCGAAACTACTAATCCCATTACAATTTATTTTCTACTGTAAGAATCTATATCATACGCGGGTTATATGCTATATTTTTGCGGACGAAGTCGCGAAATAATATTATACTTACCTCGACCAACTTATCACATGCTAGATGTATATTTACTTTTACATACTTCGGATAAGTATTCCATATTAATACAGATATAAACTAGACATTTGTTTTAAACTTTTAAAAGGTGACAAGTAGTCAACTAAATCAGGTACAAACTACTGAAGTTAACAGCACTAACAAGTATTAATAAAATATTTCTTCGAGACAGCGAACCAGTGAGAGAATTCCACTTATTTCTATCTAACAACATAACAAGCTCGCTCTAGTGAATCGGACAAGAAATCGTGTATCATGAACACAAATCAGGAAGTGTAAAAGTTAACAATTGGATTATAGTTTTTCTTCTTATTATGAGATATTATTTACAGATGAGCCGATCATTCACGTGTTAATCAATACTGGCATTCGCAACTAATTCTGAACTATTCTAAATACGAGGGTCAAACTGAAAGTTCTTAGAAAATAAAAAACTGATTACATTAGCCAGTTATTAGTTTTATTATATCTTTTCAAAATATTGTCCATTCACGTCAATACACCGCTGCATGCGATGGAACCACTGGGAAAAGCACTTTGCCCACTCGTCCTTAGGGGTCTCTTCAATGGCATCGCGATACGTAGCCACCGCTTCTTCAGCATTCATAAACCGCTTTCCTTTAAGTTTTTCTTTAATTTTTGGAAATAAATAAAAATCACAAGGCGCGAGGTCGGGGCTATACGGCGGGTGACCCAGTAATTCAACGTTTGATGTCGCCAAATAGTCGATCGTTCGCTTGGCGGTGTGCGACGAGGCGTTGTCGTGGTGAAGGAGGATCTACTGCGAGGTCGTTTCTCTCGAACTTTTTCCAAGACAAGTGGCAAACAATTGGTAGTGTACCATTCTGCAGAAACTGTTTTTTGATCCTCTAACACAATTGTTGCAAAATGACCTATCCTTCCAAAGAACGAGGCCACCATTTTTTTTCCCGCACTTCGATCTCTCTTCACTTTAGTAGGCAACTCCTCGAAAGGAAACACCCACTGAGCAGATTGTCTTTTGGTTTTAGGATCATAGCAGTAAATCCAGCTTTCGTCACCTGTTAGTATGTCGAACACAGCATTTGAGTCACCTCCGTTAAATCTTTCAATCATTTTACGACACCAATCCACACGATGGAGTTTTTGAGCCTCAGTCAAATTATGAGGTATCCACCGGGCGCAAAGCTTCCTGACCGCTAAATGTTCGTGGAGGATTTTGTGCACTTGACTCATACCGATGCCTAAGCTTGTCCGAATCTGTTGATAGGTCACTCTTTTGTCAGTCTCTATCATACGCCGCACAACACAGATGTTATCTTCAGTCGTCGCCGTAGAAGGCCGTCCCTCACGTAAATCATCAGTGAGATTAGTGCGACCACGTTTAAACTCATTAAACCAGTTGTAAACAGTCGCACGAGATGGGGCTTCATCGTGAAAGGCCAATCGTAGTAGTCTATCATAACTTTCTTGTTGACTTAAATGACATCGAAAGTCATAAAAAATCATTGCACGAAAATTTTCTCGTGTTAATTCATGATGACGTGACACAGACAATTTTCAATTTGCCGCCAAATCGTAAAACAAATGACAAATGAATGAAATATATACTCAGTAATATTGGCAAAGAGTTATATTTTCAAATTTTAGAATTATTTTTTTATTATATAGTTTATAAGTGGCCAGTTCTAAGAACTTTCAGTTTGACCCTCGTATAACAATAACGCGGCCCTAATGCCGTATATTCACTGAAATATGTTACAACATCTAAAATATAATATTCAAAACAAAGCTGATTTAAGAGTACGCGGACATGAAATATAAATTTCAATTGGTTTTTATACAAAGAAATAAATCTGTATCGTGAAATTATAAAACTGCATCATGGTTTTAATAATATTACACCCGAAACGGGAGTAGAATTTTCTTGATGGAATAAAACGAAAAAGTTTTACATTACTTTTTGTTATATCCTCCTTTTAAAGAAAAATAAAATATAACATATGCGTCACTTTATTGTAGGTGTTATTAATTAAAAACTGTTTATGACGCGCAATTCGATATTTTCCGTCTCTATCTATATCATTGCCAAGCGCAGTGAGATAGAGACAGTGACTGTAATATAGAATAGGATATTTTGATATTAGTCTTTACCCTAATGGAATTGCCTGCCGAATAAACGAAGTAAAATAAACAAAAACGATAGGTCCGGCTTTGGTATTTTGTAAAAATACAGCTTTTAACACTCTAAACATAGACAACCTTACAAACATTTAAAAATATGATTTAGAATTTTCTATATAAAAATATTTTAAGACATATAAACAGAATTTTTGACATATCACGGACAAATTCACGCGTAAAAACTACTACAAATGCTTTAGATAATTTAGTTTTCCAGGAAAGTTCATTATCAGCTAATCTAGGCTACTTCAATCCTTAGGGAACTTAGTGCTTTGAATATAATATACCTGAAATACTTGTTTGCTATATTTTCTCATTTGCTTACTAGAGACTGTAAGCAAATAAGTGAATCTCCAGTCAACTTTATCTTAACGCCAGATCCCTAACGGGGTAGACAAAATACCGGGATATGAACAATTTATTTAATCATAAGAATTTTGACATTCATACAATAAAGTTTTTTTATTTGAGCGTCACTTATATCTCGGGTACTACGAGTTTCGTGAGTTTTTGTGCTATTTTTGATGCCTTTTGCTTATGGGCTAATTTGGAACTGCATCGAGTATAGGTATTAGAATCGGGAGACTCTTGAGAACATAATCATCCATATTGTAGGTCCAAACAATCCTCCGAGTTTAAAGACCAAGTTCAGCAAAATTGCTCGATGTTTACCCTTACCAGAACAACAACTTACAACTTACAGACAAACTTGAGAAAAACTTTGTCTACATCAAATGTTACTTTTATCCGGTGAGGTGACATATGAGAGAGAAAAATTACATTTTGATAGACAAAACGTTCTCGAGTGAGATATGCTATGCGTGCTGGTCAACACGGTCTAGTCATTCTCGAGGGCGGAACGAAGCCCGAAATTTCCAGATACTCACTTTGTGTTACTACCTCGCTTTATAAGTTAGTAATCCACACAGTGTACCAGGGCTGTGGCCCGTTCACCCTATTCCATGTAAAGGAAGGTCCTGTACCTCTGTATTAATAGTCTGATGATATAATCTGTCAGATAAATTGTAAATTATGGTTTCACATGTCTCGAATCAACGTATCTGTCAGATAAAGTCTCCGATAATTTATCAGACGGATCAAAGGGTCGATAAAGTGCTTATCCAGCAGATAAAAACGGTTCTGTCATGTAGCGGATATCGATATACTTTTAGAGCATTCGTCCTAAGCGATCGTGAATTACCAGTGTACCATGGATTTATTAGAATTAAAAAAAAAAACTTAAAGAAAAATGCTTAAAAAATCCACTTTCTCCCTGGTGCTCTGAGATGGGATTCGATGCCACGATTCGACCTTTCGCAATCCGCGTGACTACTCTAACCGCTGAGCTACCCAGGACCTAACAGGATTGATGAATTCTTCAATATTTTGTTACTTTTTCGTTCTTATCCCATCATGTATAAAAAATGCTTAAATATTGCTTAAAAAAACATTTGTCCCTGGTACTAGAGGAATAAAAAATATATTTTTAAACATTTCACATTAAGACTTTTCCAGTATAGCATTATTCAATAATATGACACATTATAATTACAAAATTGTTCAATAATATTACACATTATAAAATAATAAAAAAAATTTTAAAATAATATAAATCACAAATATTCTTTATGTGTGAGACCAATCTACCCTGTTTTCCGCACTGGACCTGCGTGAAGTTCCCAATGTGGATTGGTGGTGCCAAAGCAAAAGTTCTATTTATTTGCGTCGCTTAACCTCCGTTCTACCGAATGCTAACTATAAAGTTAATGTATCAGAATTTTTTTGGTGAAACGGAAAAAATATATCAGCAACTTTTAACTACAAGATGGCGTTATGTGTCAGATAATATCTGGAACTTTATCAGCAAGTGGTGAAACTGGCCATTACTAAATATTACAGTTGGTTGAGCGATGTTGAAAAATCGACGTTATACCTATTATAACTAGATAGTGATATTATAAGTGTAAGCAGTTTTACCTCTAAATATTAGATTTATACAAGCTATTCTGAACTGAACTTTATACGCATTAAGGTCAAAAATAAATTGAAAATATTTTAAAACTTTATAGCTACCTAAGTAATATGAGATAACAGACATCAAGATGTGCTGCTAAGAGTTTGACAAGTTAATAATTAGGTATATTGTAATATTGATAATGAAATCTTGAAATATGGCTTTTGATGCTAAATAAGTATAATTGTTTATTATTAGTTATGAATTCCAGTTTTACTTTATTTGAACCCGAGTTTTCTACACTTCTATTATAAAGAGGAAGTATTTGATTGTTTGTTTGCATGAAATTAGCTCTGAAATTACCAAATCGATTTTCAAAATCCTTTCACTGAAACTAGATAATACGCGGATGACATAAGCTAAAATTAACCTTATTGTTTTTATTTTTTCTCTAAAATGATTAATTCAGGTGAGGACGAAGTGTTTGACGGAGGAGTGTCATTGGCACTCGCATTGTGGCTTCGCTCAGAAGTGCTGCTGAAGTCGGGAAGACACAAAGCTGCATTAGAAGACTTAAAGCTAGCATTGAAAGAACGTCTCCCAGCTAAAATGAGAGCGCAATATTACTGGAGGATGGGCCATTGTTACAAAGGTATGGTACTTCCTTAAACTATAATATCGTCATAACATCGCTAAGATGTCTTATAGAGATACAATCAAGGCTAGACGTTCAAAATAAATAGATAAAATTTTCCAAGATAAAGCAGAGTATTATATTTGGGTAATGAAATAGCAATAGGTACTCGATTTCGAAGAATTATTTTTATATTTAAATGACAATACTTTAAATAATACGTTAAAATTTGTAGTAAAGTAGCTGACCATGTCTCTCCATGACCATGAATCTCACAAGATTTGGACTAAACAGTTTGTATGAGATATGAAAAGTGCTATTTTAGCCATAGAATCTTTCTAGAGCTTGAACAAATAATAAGAAACCAAATTGGTGTAGCTGTCTCTGAATTTGTTTTTAACATTTAGCGATTCCTTTATATTTATAAAAACACTAGTTGCTCTTAGGACTTAACGTTAATAAAAATAAACCTATGATATTTTCGGAACTCCTAAGTACTGATAAGTATATCAAAACAAAAAATATCATTACGAGACGCTCGGATTTTACATAAAAGAAAAAAAACAACTTTTCTATTTTTAATGTTGCTATGGAAGTTTGTAAGTATTATTCTTCTTCTTCGTCTTAAACATACACATAATTTGAAGGCATTACTCACGTAATATTCAATGATTACATTTTTAATACAACCATATTTTTAATACATTGTCTATAACATTCATCATCATTACAAATTGAATTGTAAATAATAGTTACTATGGTAACGTTTTAATGGCCTATACAAACTTCCACTCTCATTTTCATAATTTTATTTACTATTTTCCGGAGTATGGTTTAAGATAGACATAAGGAGTTGCGGCCTTTTTTAAAATACCTTTTTTTAGAAAGAAAGAAAAATTATCTCCTACTTTTGAAACATTTTTCATTCCACTCCTATTAGTCATAGCGTGATGTTTTATAACCTATAACCCTTCATGATAAATGGGCTATTCATACCCTTCATGATAAAAATAATTAAATTCGAACCGGTAGTTTAAACCAACCAAACTCTTTAGCTTTATTATGAGTATAGATTTGACTGAGACACGTATCGGTAGTGTTGTTTTTACGATACTATCTATTACAAAATATTAGATAGAATCAGTATCGCAACAAAGCAGTTATACAATATTAAGAAGAGAACGTCAGAACCGGTAACGGATCTAATTCATAAACGGAGACTTCGTCGTAATTTTTTAGAAATGCATATTTTATACTATGAAGTAAGGTAATAATTAATGAAAGGGTGGACAATTGGATTATATTAGGTTGGGGAAGAAGCCTTTTCGCATATAGTATGCATTAACTTCTAACAAAGTATTTCTGGATATACAAATTGTATCTGGCTGATTTAGGTATCATTAAAATATTTAACTTCTAAAGAGGATAACTTCGAATAAAAATTAGGAAAATGTATGATTCTCATTTGTTTTTGTTATTGTGAAAATGAGCAAATTTAATAAAGAAATTCTTTATAGATTATAAAATTTTATTAGAAAATATGTAAAAATGCAACGCAAGCCGCGAAAAAAATGTGTGACGTTTATGGGCCTAGGACAGTTTCTGTGAGAGTAGCACAAAGGATATCGCCGAATATAGCCCCAATACCAGCAGATGTTATGTATAGTAACATGTTTAGAAGAAAATGCGCTCTGTAGCACTGAAAAAGTAACAAATACTTGAAAGATTCGTCAGTCCTGTTAGGTCCTGTGTAGCTCAGGGTTAGAGCAGTGGCCGGGATTACGAATGATCATGGGTTCAAGTCCCATCTCGGAGTGCCAAGGACAAAGTAGATTTTTTAAGAATTTTTAATTTAAAATATTTATCAGTACGGCATTGTAAATGCAAAATTGATCATAATGTATTTTATAAAATTAACAATTAATGAGAAAGCTAAATCATATATCTAAGAATTCAAAAGAACCCTTTCATAACATAAGAACTTTAGCTTTCGTCCACTTAAGTACTTAATAGGCAAACTGATCACGAATCACAAGGTTCAATAAAACTGTTCGATCTTTTGGTCACATTTCGATAACGAACATAATCGAATTACAGTTCTGTAACATCTTTTATAAATTCAAATGTTAAGAAAAGACTATTCTAAAAATTATTAATGATACAGAAATACGAAATTATTCTAAATGAAAATTTCCTTAATGACAAAATACGAGTATATCAGTGTCATCTCGCCATTTACGTATTATTTACTACACAATACTTTGTGAAGAGTTTTACATGTCAAAATCTCAAAGAGAGTGCATTCGTGCGTTTCACACACGAGTTCATCCACAAAAGCTTTAGCATAAACTTCGTTTTGCGTTGTATGAAATTCATGTAGGATAATTTCAACATGTCAGTCTCAGGATTTCGGGTAAACCAGATATTTGTACGAGTAGAGAACTCGAATAATGAGATCAATGTTATTTAAATTACGATTTAAAAGATAAAAATATGTTTATTAAGACGTAAATTTTTGATTTTGTGCAATTTCGTGACTTATTTTTTACTATCGAAACTACCCTAAATATGTAACTCGACTTATTATATTACAAGGAGCTGGTGAGCCAACTAGAGCTAAAGTATCTTACGAGCTAGCTGGGAGGCTGTTAGCAAACGATGAAGCGGCTAAAACACAATTAGTGAACGATGTTCAAGCTTTGGACTACACAGTACAATCAAAACATCCGCCAGACAAACCAGGTAAGTTCAAACTATGATATTATCACCATTACCATCACCATCATCCCCAGCCTATTAATATCCTCTGCTAGGGCACAGCCCGTATCTTTGTATGGAATCGAATCAAACCGTATATGGAGAACGGGACATAGACCTACCACGTGGGCTCACTACGAATTGATGGGTTTTAATGGCTGCAGCCAGGATTTACTGCTTAACTTACCACGAAAGAACTCGAAATAAGAAATTTTTGGTCACCCATCCTATAACCGGTTCTTGGAAAGTTGCTTAAGAACCGTAAGGCAGACCGGCAGAGCTAAAGATAAATTTAAAGTATTTCTAGTCATCAAATCCAAAAATATAATTTATATCCAATCTTCAAGCATGATTAAGAATAATTTTTACTAGCCAACCGATTCCTTTACAGCTGTTACTGTTACTGGAGGCTCGAAGCAGAATATGCCAGCTCTATCTAAACTTCTGAAGATTACCGAAGAGGAGAACAAGGTAGTAAACTGCACTAACTTGACCCAAGTTGTTGCAATTTATAAAGCTGCGAACTGAATAATGGCGAGTAGCGCTGCACGACTTAATATTCCTAGACGCAAACGAAATAGCAAACTAAAACCAACCCTTGTTAAAAGTTTTAAGAGCAGATGCTTAAATTTCTATTGCCAAGTGGAAACAACTTTGACTAACACATCTAAAGACTACTTCAGACTGGATTGTATCTGAGCATAATAAATAATTTGTATTTCATATTGCTCAAACTGATAATACTCTCAAATATTTTAAATTATCTACTATCTACTAACCACCAATGCAGAATTTATTTTCACTATAATAACGAACAGGATATTTTAGGAAAGGGAGAAATGAAATACTTTGTGTGGAATTTAAAAATTCTGCCCAATATTTCGTTTCTATGCTAGATAGAGATTATAAAACAACAACTGCATATGTCAAAATAACAAAAACGTTGCCTACCAGGAATATTAAAAACCCTTCAACAAAGCTGGACTATCGTAAAAAACAATTTCCAAAACCGGAGAAAAATCTCCGGCTACTAAAATATTGCACGAATTGTATCCGAGTATTATTGGAGTGCATCGAGCACTCAAATCCACTAATTCTAAAGGTGCGTGTACATAACGGAATAGAACACAAGCAGAGCAAAAGTGGTAAATTAATTAGTGTATGACTTACGAACATCTAAGGGAGCAAACCTGATTAGGTAAAAATGATAGAAGGAAACAGTGTGATTTCAACGTGCGATGGTCTGTTAGTTGCCAACAAAAATTACATGATGCATATCGATTCAATCTCTAATTCGCCTGTGCCATCTCTCGCCCCTCGGTAAGTTGTAGTTTTGCAATGATGTGTGATTACCAGTGGTCGGAATTAGGTAGAGTTATTCATGTACTTACACTGATTTCATACAGCGAATGAATAAAGTGGATATGCCTCAAATCCCGAGATTAATTTTAAATAGCAGAAAAAATCCAGTGATTTTTTAAATAAAAAGTTATTTACTTTTACACAATTTAAACTACCGCACGCACGACGTTGCCAAACTTACATCAATGAAAGAAAGAAATAAAGAAAGAAGAAATAAAGAAATCAAGAAATAAAGAAATCACGGGAAGGTCCACATTAATATCAACAATTCGATGCAAGTACATAAATAACTCTACCTAATTCCGACCTCTGGTGATTACTTAGAACACTGAAAAAAGACATCTTTAACTTTGATTACATAATCAAACTACCAAACCTGTCATAATATGTTATCTAATGAATTTCTTGTGCTGGTGTAATGACCTTCGGTTAGAACGATTGAATAAGATTTTTTAATTAATCTAATGCTACAGTGAAATCCCTTTTTTCCCCGTTCACGACAATGCCTAAGAAATATTTCTCTTTTTGATTTGTATCTGAATATGCTCTCCCTATTGTAGACCCACCTTTGCGTATGTGTAGCAAACCGTTCATGACTCGTTTTGTCTGGTTCTTATTTTACACATTATATATACGTATGTACTATCAAACTCCACTTTGAATCCATTTTCCGTTGAAACTATAACTGTATTTACTTCTGTGAATTAACAACTTTGTAAAGCTGAACTAAAATTTGAAATATATAATACTAGATTCCCTCTATTATTATTTAAATAATCATAGTGAAATTGAATCGAAATAATCATTTCCTATGACTTGACTTTAATACATGTTTTATATTAATAACTTTTACATACTGTAATGTATGTAAATGCTTTCCTAAATTTATCCATACAGAGTAGCTCGGTAGTTGGCGGTCTTTGTTGCTTGGCATTGACCGTATTGGGCCAGCGTGGAGGGTTATGGTTCATTCTCCATAACCACCCATAAGAAAGACCCGAGCATCTGCAGTGGCGTAGATGATGAAGAGTTTAGAACAAAGTCACTTCCTGCTGTCTGACCAGACCTTTTAAACTACACCAGGACGCGAACACGTTAACGCAAAATCAAACTCACCACTCATTTCGGACTGGACCTAACCTCTTTTTTAATAGCCATTGAACCGTACCGGTTCGCGTCCCTTATTACTACTGCTTTGAACCGTAGCTGGCATTTAATTCCGAATACTTGTAACAAAACTTGAAATGAACAGACACTAACAATAAGCGCAGAGAATCCACCTCTGAGAAAGAACTGAGTGCGTGATACGGAAACAGAATAGCAATAATCGGACTATATCCGTTCGATATTTAATTTATCATTTTAGTTTTAAGCTAATAATGCTACGAAAACGGGTATTGATTATGGAATCTTTGAAATTATGGTATTCTTTATCTCGAAAAATGTCAAAAAAGCTCGTCAAATTAGTAGAAAAATATGGTTATTTCCAAAATGAATGAATGAATAAATACTTTTATTGTACACTATTATTAAATAAAAGGATAATCGATACAATTTAGTGGTACAATCGGCGGCCTTATCGCTAAAAAGCGATTTCTTCCAAGCAACCGCAGATTGACTGGACTATTACAAAAGTATATGGGCAGAAGATGATGTCTTACATGGCGAGAAAAACATGTTTTCATAAATAAACATGCCTACATACATACATACATGCTCTTTCATAAATATTCATACATAAAATATACAATAATAAATATAACAGTACCTAAACAAAGTATAGAACTGAAGTGTGTAGGTAGATACTTCATTAAACATGATTTTCCACAGATCTTTTGAATGAACTAATTAGTATCACACTCACTACACAAGAGGTCAATGCCCTGTCTGATTTATTAACTAACTGCTGTGTGCAATGCACATTATGTTACAGGGCAGATATGCGGTTGCAAACTCTGACATACGAACTGGCGACGTTCTGCTTATAGACCATCCATATGCTGCTTGTCTCCACACAGACTACTATGGGACTCATTGTTTTCATTGCTTCAGAAGGTACGAATCATTAACCTTTCCATCATTCTACTAGATTACAACTCTTGTGTGTGCGATAATGTGCTTTCGAAACGTAATGGTTCATTTGGTAAATATTCACAGATTAGAAGACATTGAAGAGGAAGCTCCTGTGGGTTGCCCCAAATGTGCAGCAGTTGTTTTCTGCGGTGTACGATGTCGTGACGTAGCAGTTTCTACATACCACCCTTATGAGTGTCAATATCTTGATCTATTTATAGGTAACTAATATTTTTTTAATCAATAACACCAAAATAATGAATCATTATTTCATTAAAAAATTATTTGTTAAAAAATCAGCCTTGAACACTAAATCACAACCTCGACGTCGAGCATAAGGCCGTTACAGCTTCTTAAATTATTTAATACTTAGTTTGTTTATATATCCACACAAACGTTTACATCGGATATTCTCTGGCAGTATTAAAACGATTGTCAATGTGGCAGATTATACTTTTAAGCAGCCAGTATAAAACCTTCAATAGTTTCAATGAAATTAAAACCTTTATCGCCTTTTGAAGTTGGTTTTATTCGATTGAACCTCTAAACTGTGACAGCGCTATGTTCGACGTTGAGTTTAATGCTGATTTTCTTACAGAACAACACTGCAACAAATTAATAGCTCATTTCAAGACTAAAAGCTAATTTCACTATATTGATTATGTTTTTTTCTTATTTCCAGGTTCAGGAATGTCGATTCTAAGTCAAATTGCTCTTAGGATTATCACCCAAGCGGGGCTTGATACTAGTCTTACAATATATTCGAAATATTTTTCCAACACAGTGAAAACAGTAGAAGGTGCTGTTCTTAATGATATCGAAGGTGTAACAAAGAAATCTAAAATGAAGAGTAGGAAAGAAAGATTGAACAGAACCAAGAAAGGCTTGAAGAGCTTTACGGAAAAAAATAAGGAAGCTGATGAGGTCGAAATTAAAGTGGATAATAAAATGAACTACGAGGAAAAATTGGAATTAAAAGCTGCACAGTTTTATTCATTGTGTGCTCACTCCGAACAAAGAAAAGGCGGGGATTATCTTAAAAGAGTTGTCATGGCGATGTTTCTCACCGAGTGCTTAAAAAATACTGGATTTTTTGAGAAATGCGAGCAAGATAATCTAGCTAAAGGTAACTTTTTTAAATGGGATTATAATATTATATATACTAACAGACATAGATTTGCTTAAGCTTAAGCTTATTTCTGCTATGTAAGTACTAAAGCCTGAAACAACATTTAAAAACAATATTCATTAAAATCTAATATACAATGTAACGGGAGATTTTAGGTTTATTTTTAACATTGGAATCCTTAAAATGATGAACGGAGGCATATTAATATAATCCTATAAACATTCAATGAATTAATGATTTCAAATCAAAAAGCGAAAGATCAGTATTATATAAAGGTCAGTGAAAAAGTTTCTTCGCCGTTTTTAATAAAGTTTATTCACATTTAACTAAAGCACGTAGGTTCCATTTAGTTCGATATATTTTTGCCATCTTGTACAAGACAAGTGGTTTTAGCAGTCCTTGCGTGATGTTAAACTGACACTACATAAAGAATTCTGAAGAGACCGAAACAGGTGGAATTCTGAAGATGCAAGATCAGGACTATACGGTGGATGCATTTACACTTCCTAGCCAAACTATTAAGTTTTGCTGAATGGCGAAATGTGTGTGGTCTAGCGTTTCCATGATAAAAAACTACAACACTTCAATATTATTTTGAGCAGTTTCTCTCAACTTTTTGGTTTAATCTCATCAGTTATTCGCAGGAGAGTTCAAAACCGATGGTCCTGTCTGGCGGTAACAGCTTATAATGAATATTGCCGTTCCAATCCCACCATACACACAGCATCACCTTGTTACGAGTTAACCCGGATTTCGCCACAGTCTGTGAAGCCTGACCAACCTTTGACCACAACCTTTTTCACACGTTATTATCGCACGTGATCCGCTTTTCTTCACCAGTTATCAGTTTCTTCAAAAATTATCAGTTTCTTCAAAAATGGTTCGGTTTTTTCAAATGCGCCAAGACTGTTTGGTTTCGACCAAAAATGATTATTGATTATTAGATTCACTCATTTTGATAATAAGGAAAAGAAATTAAAATCACACATTTTCAGAGTTATCTTCTTTAAAATCTAAACTTCTCAATGATATTGAAACCAGCCAGACACAAATGGTATATCAGAAAGATTGTATCACAAGTTTATGTATACTATTTGCGAAAAAGACAGAAAATACAATACCCGATAATCAAATATATATCTTTTACAAAAATCTAAGCTTAACCACAGTCTCAACGCTGGAACTAGAACCCTAAAAAGTATTTATAGCTATTTTTTGTATTCATAGCTGAAGTATCTATAACCGAGATGCTGGTGCGAAATCTCCAGATATTGCAATTCAATGCACATGAAATATACGAAACACTGAGAGGCGAACACATGTTCAATGGATCCAAGCCAATCTACATAGCAGTAGGCATTTACCCAACTGGAGCTCTCTTCAATCATGAATGTTATCCTGCGGTGGCCAGGTAAAACTTTTACCAATATCTATGTACATACTCTTTGGGACTCTGTACCACATCAGTATTCATGTAGGGCAAGTTTAATGCCGAGAGTTTGTGGACATGTCCATTGGGTAGGTCGGTCAATGAAAGTGGGCAATGAAAGTTCAAATCTCGTGTAGTCTTAAGAAAAACTTCTTATTTTGCATAAATATTAACTAATATGGTTTAAGAATTAGATCAAACAATTATCTAAAATAACATATTTTTAAAATTATTACCCATTTAAGTTGGATGAAGCTACATTAAGTTGATTTTTGTTTTAATGAGTTACCTTATTAAATGAGTAAAGTACTCAACAAACAAAATACTAAACAATCTAGACTTCAGATTACATTACCTTATATAATGGTGTATGCTAAACATTTATATCATTGAATACGTATCTAATTACATCATAATTCCAGAAGACAGTCGATAATGCACATATAGTAAACATATAACATGTTTGATTCTATCGTATATATCGGAACCCACTTAGATAATAACCTATTGTTAATTGACACAATTATTTGATAAAATCCTCTTTATATTCATACTTGCTAATTCCTGATCGTATTTTTTTTGAAGTGAATATTATTGGTAAGTATTCCAAGTAGTTATAGTAACCCATGTAAGTAGTAGCTTGCCGCAGGAAAAGTTTTTCAAATTAGTCCAATAGTTTTGGAACCTGTTGGAAAAACATGAAATCGATAAAATTATCGAACACTGCTTTATTATTGATTTATAATGTCTTTTTAGATACTTTGATGGATCTAAGATAATACTTCGAGCTACACGACCCCTGAGTCCTGGAGATGTGGTATCTGAAAACTACGGCCCTCACTTTTTAATGCGAAGCTTGATAGACCGTCAGAGGTCGCTCGCATGCAGATACTGGTTCAAATGTGAATGCGTCGCCTGTAAAGAAGATTGGCCTACACTAAAGCAGATGAACGTCTCTGACACACCAGTTTTCTTGAGGTAAAATTTATTTTTAAGTTTCATATTGCGATTACTAGCTTTTCGCAAGCGGCTTCATCCGCGTGGTCCTGTATTATACATATAAACCTTCTTCTAGAATCGCTCTGTATGTTGAAGAAAACCGTATTAAAATCACTACACAAAGGATTTTAATACGGTTTTCTTCAACATACAGAGCGATTCTAGAAGAAGGTTTATATGTATAGTACAGGTATGTATAATAATATTAAAAGATCACAGCGTTCAGAAGTCGGAAGCGACTTTGTTTTATATAATATATAGATAATATATAGAATTTATAGTTTTTTATTTTATATAATCAAATATGAAGTCAATTATAGTTTGAATTATTTATATGAATTTAAAAGGGAGAGAAAAAAGAGCTGCTTTATTAATTTCCGATTTTTCGTATAGGAAATATCATTTTATGACTATAGTTCAATACTAATACAAAGAAAATTATAACTTTCATTTTATCGTTAATTAGTTACCTTGTTTGTAACTACAGGAAACACGTGTCGTAGTCATTAATACACAGACTGTATTTGAGTTACTCTAAATCCGGTCAGATAAAAACAAAACAAAATATTAACGGATGCCGATTTCTTATCAATGAACATAAAAAGGATGTTGTCTCTTTCGAGTCGAGAAGCAACACCTAATGAGCGGCGAAAATATAATAAAGAAGGATATTTTAACGAAAAACTATATCAAACATTTTATTTAGTGTAACGATCATACCATAATCTGTACAACTCAATAAAGAAAATATTCCATTGTTTGTTTGCGTCAAATAACCTTTGGGTAGTTACATCATATTAGGATAACATAGGTTATAATTAAATATAAATAGAAAAACAATAAATAATAAATAAATATACAATTTCATATAGTAGGAACTCTTTACAGGTGTCCTAATACAGAGTGCACGGTGAAATTCAGACCAAACAATCCCAACTTACCTAGCAAGTGCATGAAGTGCTCTACTCCTATAGACAAAGAGCTGATGAAAATCAATTTGGATAGTGTCAATCGCAGCGTAAACCAATATCAGGTGAGAAATACGGGCTAAATGGTAATTATTCGCCAATTCAATTCTAGATTCGAATTAGAAAACAGTGTTAGGTTATTGTGACCAAACGTATAATTGAAATATATGTACTGATAGATATAAGATTAAAGATACGAGATTTAATATAAGTAATGAAAATATTGTTTTTTTTATCTATAGTTCAGTGTTTCCTAACCTTTTCAATGTCACTACCCCTGTGAACAAGTATGGGAATTGAGTTTACCCCTAGCTAATTTAAAATAATTTAACCACACAAATTCGAACAAACAATTTTATTAAGTAAGAAATTGCACGTTTAGTAACTAGTAATATATAAATCTCGAACTTAACTAGTGTGAAGGTTGATATTGCCTTGCATTCGCAAGTATAACAATATAAGATTCGGTTTCACTCAAGGCGCATCTCATGTCATGCTCCACATTCAAACAGATTCTAGCTTTTGTTTTGAATGTAACAAGAGTCGACTAGCTACCGTACTATTATTTTATTTATTATTTTAATACCCCCCAGAATTGCCGTTTTACCCCTGCGGGGGTAATTACCCCCAGGTTAGGAAACACTGCTATAGTTCATTGAAAATGAGATTTAAAGTAAAGATAGTGATTGTAAACTTCTCCATAATGAATAATGAAATTTTGCTAGGTAAAATAAAATATATATTATATATATATTAGAGATAATATTATTTATGCTGATATAATAAGATTATGGCTAGCAATTGGGGAGATTTGTTCGATCAATATTTTTTGATGTAATTGGCACACAACATAATAATTAGGTTTTTAAAATTGGTTTAGTTAATGTTGCAAATTAATGGTAAATTATTATTTAGTGGCAAATTAAGAAACGTTTACTTACTTTTATTCTACCTTGTACTTTAATTCTACATTTCATACAATATTCGGGACTAATTTTTAATTTTTATTATAATAGGAAGGAGCAAAACTTATGGAAGCAGAAAATACAGAAGACGCAATACGTATTATGTGCGATGCCATTGATATGTACCATGAGGTTGCGTGGGCGCCTCATCGCGACACCCATCTCGCTCAAGAAGCACTCCGATCATGTTTTGCGTCGTCAGGAAATGTTCACGTGATACGAGGTGAGCCAATCAACGAAGGAACAGAAAGAAAAGCCAAAGAACTACATTGTAGTCCAACAAATTTAAAGAAAAAGGATTAGATCGTGTCACAAAATCTCATTGTGTTATATGTACTCACATAGTGTTTATGTAGTTTATAAAAATAAATGTTTTCGTTCTAATTTCTGTTTAATTTTTCATACCTGTTTGACGAATTACGTATTACGGCCTTTTCAATAAGCAATGTATATAATGTTTCGTCCTTTCATTCGATCTAGGACTACTACTGTGAGACACATTGAAATGAAGCTATATGTAACTAAAAAACGCTATGTGTAACTAAAAAATATTTATGAGAATCTTTTGTCCAACGAATTAACCAATGAACATGACTACAGTGCATTGATGTGGTTATGCGCTGAACCTCACCCCAGCACCGCCATTGAACCAAGCACGCATTATACCGAGCTAGTGATACTACATAACTATTTCATTATATTCACATCCCATACTATGGCAAATGTGACGTAGAGTAGTGAGAGACATGACAACAGTGCCTATTTAATACTACAGAATTTTCTCTACAGAAAATTCACTACTTATTAATGGCACTTCTTTTAGCACAAACTATACAAAAATATGTATATGTGTGTTTCGACTTCTATATTTTTAGTTTAATTTAAATACACCGCCATCAAATGATTGTTTATTCGAGATTTATTTATTTATTATTATCAAGATCGGCTTATATCTCGCAAAAAGAATATTATTAAAAAAAAATAGATAAGTACTAACTGTTATCCAATTTTAATCTAATTGCTACTAAAACGTTACAAATAGCCATAATATCCCAAAACCCGCCCTTTTGAATCACATCCCAAATAATATAAAAATGACATTAAACTCAAAAAACATAAAAACTAAAATTAAACAATATTTCATTGAAAAACTGATAACGACTATATAACTTTTCAAATATAAATTAATAACTACTAATTCATGCGTAATTGTGTAGGGAAAGTAATGTTTCGGTTACCTTAACTTATTTATTTATAACAAATATAGCACGTAGTCAAGTTTTGGGAGCTCAAACTTTATTTTTTAAAAAAATATAAAAATACAGAAAATTAAATCTAAGCCTTAATACTAGGTGCTGCCGATTTGGAGGCTAGCAAAAGAATGATTTATTCTTAATAAAAACTGTCCAAGAGGGCCAGACAGCGACGCCCACGTATTCACAGGAATTGTATCCAGGGTGCTGACTAAACCCCCTTTAGTCTAATACAGAAGGGCGAGGGGGTAACATAACTCCTCCATCCCCAGATGGAAAATTATCGGAATTTTCACCTTGTGTGTTTTTCCGATAATTTTTCATAAATGGAAAATTAATAATTTTATTTCTAAACATGTATAAAAATATTATAATAGAACCAAGGCTTACTATACTTAATAAGACATACACTAATACACTGATTTTAGAGTCTGTTTCTCTGTTAAAAACACTATCTATCACTTCACTGTGTTTAAGCGCTTGTGACATGTACTTAATCTCATCTAGTTTGACATCCTTCATATTGAGTACATGTGCACCGGATAGAGCGACGTTCACTCGTAGCTGCGGTAAGTTGATTATAGGAATTGGTGATGCATAATCCCTTTCTGTGTATACTTGATGGTGACCAATCTGGATGTTTCCTATTCTTAATTCACAGGGCTCCTCCAAAGTCAAAACATAGGTTCCCAGTATAGAGTATTTGCTCATTTCACCATTACATTCTTGTGTTAATGTTTCCTTGAATTTTGTATATAAAATCCAGTTTCCAGTGTTAATTTTCTGCACCTTTACGTCTTCAACATGGATCGGGCGTTGTATGCAAATGCTAACGTTAGTGTCGAATTTCATCAGCTGTTCCACGCAGGTAAGTTCTTGGTATAGTACTGTATCATCCATTGCACACAGGAAGTGATTTCTTGTAGCAAGGACGCTGCACTTCTTCATGATCGGTAAATATTTCAAACCTTTCGCCAAAAGGTAAGGGTATTTAGGAAATATAGTTAAGGTTATATTTTCAGGTTTTTGGAAAACAGGTAAGGAATACAATTTAAAATAATTATATGTAGTATTATCAATAAGTGGAACTTCCATAATGAACGTTATCTGGTTTTTCTTTAAATATGATTTAACACGAATGGTTTCCTCTATCCGTACTAAATTATCTTCATTAGGTATATAAACTAAATTTTCAGCATTAGCAATAATTTTTAGATGTGCCATAAGTTCAGTCGAGTTTACAATGGACTGATGCAATATAGAGCTTTTACTTAAAGCTAAAGCAGTTTCAATTTCACTTAATTTAATAAAAATAGTTCTAAAGTTACTAACAAACATATTATATAAGCCCATGAGATACAAGGAAAGTAGCCAATCATTTTCTTTATTTACTAATTCTTTAATACTAGTCTCTGCCATTTTCAGACGGGTGTCTAAGTTAACAGTATTATTATTAATAGTTTCTGTTGTATTAATAATGCTATCGAACATTGTAGATATGAAAGTTAATTTTTTGGAAACAACGATTTGGTTAGTATTCAAGTTTTTTATTAATTTATCATATTTTAAAGCGTCTTCATGATCTAAGTTACCAGTGATAATTTTGACGATCGACCCTAACGGGTTGATAAGTCCTCTCTTAAATCTCTTTGGAATCAATTGGTGATACTTGTCTATTGTCATATCACGTAAATATTCCGCATGTTTTAGAATAACGACAAAATCTTGAGGAAATGATTCGTTTGATGTAACTAATATCTTAAATTCGTCAAATTTTGTTAAGGTGTACATTAGATCATTATGAATGTTCTCTAAGTTTATATTTTTTATAATTGTCCAGTAGTCGGTTTGTAAGAATGCTTGACCTTCCTTTACAGGCAGGATCCCGGGGTTCCCATCAAGGTTTTGCAGACGAAGGGCCAGCACCGGGGTCGTTATAATCAGAATACACCACCTGTGGAGGGCATTTAATATTTTTAATCGGAGCCTTGGTATCCCTCTCACCTATTCTGAGTGGAATTATGTTTTTATCTGTTTTTCCTATTATTTTTGCTTTATTATATCGTGCCTTGTCTTTACCTTTTCTTTTATTAACACTTTTTACATAAATTGTTTCTCCTTCAGAAAATTCTAATCCTGATTCACCACCCCTCTTATCTCTAACCTTTTCCTTGCTTTCTATCATTTTGTCTGATAAATATTGATACAGAAACGCTGTACGTTTGGCATGGTCCTTTACTAACTGTTGCACGTATGCTTTTTCGAATGCTAGATTAAATGGGCTATCGCTATCCGTATGTCCAAAGACAACTTCAAACGGGGTTAATCCTGTTGTAGAGTGTATTGTATGATTATATGCCATTATACTGTATGTCATAACCGAGGCGGCATCGGTGCATTTCTGTTCATACTTCGCTATCCTATAAATTTCGATAATAGTGGAATGTAGCCTTTCAATCAAACCCATTGAATTGGGATTGTTTGGAGTACCTATGTGAAGAGAGACCTTATGTAAATTTAAAAATTCTTTTAATAATTCATTATTAAATTCGGTTCCCGGATCCGAACTGATTTTCTTAGGAATCCCATAATTAGAAAAATATTTAATTAGCGCTCTTACAACTTCGGGTGTAGATTTATTAAGAATTTCAATAGCTTGACCTAATTTGCTAAATGCATCAATTAATGTTAAATAGTATTTTCCATCAATGGAAAATATATCCATAAAAATTTCTTGAAACGGAGCATTCTGTGTTTGCGTTAACTGTAGTATTGGTTTAATAGGTTTTCTATCATATTTCATTTTACGGCAGGCCTCACAAGCGTTAATGATGGCGGATACGGTTTCTGACATATTTTCCCAAAAATAATTTCTACGAATTCTTACTAAGGTTTCTCTGATGCCTCGGTGGCACGTCTTTCCTTCGTGATGTTTTAATACTACTGCCCTTTGCTCACCCTCATCTTCGATGTATACTATTCGTTCTGTACATTCTTAAAACTTTACTATATCTTTTTTAAATAATTCTATTATTACTTTACTAAATTGTGCACGATGTTTTTGTTCTTCAAAATAGACGAAATATTTAAGTTTTGGTCGAATATATTCTTTTAGAAAAGTTTTAATTAATTCTAAATTATCTGTAGGCATGAATACCTCTAATATTTTTTGCTTCTTTCTGGAAATATCTTTGACATTTAATTCATTTTTAAACCAAGAAAACACTAAGATTTGGTTTGGTTTTGTGTCTATTGCTTCGTGTAAAATGGGTATTCCTGATGATTCTAAATCTATTGCTGAATGTATAGTCTGTGATTTAGTGCTAGCTTCGGACGGTGATCCAACAGGATACTCTAAATTTTTCTCAGAAGCTGAATCTGATATTGTTATTGGACTAGCAGATGTTGTTTTACTTAAATCTGAAATAGACATTGTAGAAGACGAACCACGTTTTTGTAATTTTGAAAGTTTTTGTATATCTTTAACGACATCATTAATATGTTCCTGCAATCTTTCTTCGTCCTCATCTACGTTTACCTGCATTGACTGCCCGTCATCATCTGTATCTATTGCATTGACTCTAACTCTAGATAAAGCGTCAGCATTCGTGTTTTGTTTTCCAGATTTGTATATAATTTCGAAGTTGTAATCTTGTAAGCGTAGCCTCCATCGCGTGAGTTTACTATTAGGATCTTTCAAATTATTGAGCCAAGCTAACGGACGGTGGTCGGTATATATAAAGAATTTACGTCCGTATAGATACGGCCGGAAGTGTTTTATTGACCAAATGATTGCAAGCAATTCGCGTTCTATTGTGCTGTACCGCGCTTCGGTGTCACTTAAGGTACGGCTAGCGTAAGCGACCGGTTTGTCGTTACCTATAGTTCCTTGTGATAACACTGCACCTAAGGCCACATTAGATGCATCTGTAGTAAGTATGAACGGTTTGTCATAATCAGGGTACTGTAGTAAAGGGGCATGCGTTAAGAGTTCTTTACACTTATGGAAGGCATCTATATATTCCTGATTGATAATAATTTTGTTTCGCTTTTTTAAACATGTAGTCAAGGGTTTCGTTATTTTTGCAAAATCTGGGATAAAACGTCGATAATAACCAACGAGTCCTA